AGCCTTTTCTGCTTGAGTCTCCAGCCTCAGTATTTGCCTTCACAGATAGACTGTACACTTCTCAGTTCCAGATTAAAATTCTCCACACCAGGTGCTCCTGTGCCGCTCTTGTCCCTAAGACTCTAAACCTAGGGGAAACCACTGGAATGTCTGCTGCCCTCACTCCACCCACTGGACTGATACTGTGCCAAATCCTGAATGTTGATGATCCCAGCTGAGGGAGAGACTGTGGGACCCAAGAATCTCTCCTGAGCAGGAAGAGTGAGCCCCTGTAGGAATCACTTTTGGGCAACTTTCTCAGCCTCTGATCACCTATGTATAAAATGGGATTGGTATAACCAGGCATGGTGGGTCATGCCAGTAATCCAAGCCACTTGGGATGCCAAGATTGGAGGATTAGGAAGCTGAGACTGGAAGATTGCTACTTGAGGCCAGCCTTGCCCCTCTCCTCCCACAACCAAAACAACAAAACAGAAAAAAAAAACAACACAAAACTAGATGTTTGCTGGGTTAGCTTCCAACTGTGATCTACAGATCTCAGCTTCCTGAGTAGCTTGGATTATAGGCATGAGCCATAGATCAGCTACAGTTTACTCTTCTGTATACACTGTTCAGTTCTCCCCCTCTGCCCCCGCCCCCAGCTCTACAGTTCAAGGAAACACTCTACCACTTGAACCACAGGGCCATCTCCAGTTTTCTGGTGATTAATTGGAGATAAAAGTCTCATGGACTTTCCTGCCCCGGCTGGTTTTGAACCATAATCCTCAGATCTAAGCCTCTTGAGTAGCTAGGATTACAGGTGCCTAGCTCCCTGAGCTTCTTTTGCTCAAGGCAAGCACTTCACCACTTGAGCCACGGTGCCACCTCCAGACTTTTCTGTGTATGTGGTACTGAGGAATAGAACCCAGGGCTTCATGCATGCTAGGCAAGCATTTTACCACTCAGCCACATTCCCAGCTCTACTATATATTCTTACTACTCAGGTTCCCTTGCTTGAGATTTTGCTTGCTCTGATGCAAAGCCATATTAATCCTGCCTTCCGGTAATACTCAGACAGTCCAGGTAATAATTTCTTCAGGGTGCACACACCTGCAGATACACACCCACACCCGCAGCCCAAAGCTGTCCTTCCTGTTTCTTACCTTTTCATCTAAGGAATTGGAAGTCGTCCAGTATTAGTGCACAGTGAATACGTTTTGTCCAATTTATTAGCGTTTTGCATGTGTGTGTGCTGGTACCGGGGGGCTTGAACTCAGGGTCTGGGAGCTACTCCTGAGCTTTTGTTTTTTGATCAGGGCTAAGGCCCCACCACTTGAGTCACACCCCCCACTTCCGGCTTTTTCCTGGTTAATTGGAGATGAAAGTCCCGGGGACTTTCCTGCCCGGGCTGTTTTCGAACCTTGATCCTCAGATCTCAGCCTCCTTGAGAAACAAGGATTATAGATGTGCGGTCATCCGCGCGGGGTCATGAGCTACTTTCAGCTGAGTTGCCATTCGTTACGCCCGTCTGCCTGGGGCACGATCTGTGGACGTGTGGAGCCGGAGACCGAGGAGCTGGGGGCCTGGCTACGGCCCAGCTCCGCCCGGCCTCCGCGGTTCCCTCGGGCTCGGTCGGGACAGCCGCGGGGAAGCCGGAGTGGGAAGGCGCGAATCTGCCCCGCGGGAGCCTCAGTCTTTGCGGGCAGCCTCTGAACACCAAATGCACCCGTCATTGTGCCACCATCCTGCTCAGAACTCTTCACGGGTCTCCCCGGGCTCGCCCCCGACTCCGCGCAGCCACCAGCCGGTAACCAGGTGATCCCGTCCCTCCGAGTCTCAGCGTAGCCAGATTCTAGCGGCCTCTGGCCCCTTAAGGAGACGGAGCCCGGGCTCCGTTAGTCCCGCCCAGAAACGGCTTTGGCGCAGGCGCACGGCGCAGAGTCTCCGGCAACCTCCCGCAGCCCTCTCTATAAACATGGCGAGGCCCCGGCCGCCGCGTTCGCGCCCGGCGTGACGTCACTTCCGGGGCGGAGGCGGCCGAGTGGTGCAGTGAGGGACAAACAAAAGGAGGCGCCGGTGGAGCGCGGCGTCCGGCGGC